GCTTAATAAAATATAAAATAGAATGAAAGAAAAATATGAGAACTTCACAAAGCTTCAAATCTACAAATTCGATCTCATACAGCGTTTACAACAAGCATATACAGTATTCCTCCATGACAGTGTTGCTAAGCACCAAATTTCTGTCCCCCATTCATGCCTGTCTTTATTCGCTGCACCCTCCTATACAAGTTATCAAAAAAATAATAAAAATGACTACAATGAACTATTTATTTCGAAGTTGGAGCCCTTATTTACAATTAATTTAAATACTAGTTGCTATTATGTTATGAAGATCATTGAAATGGTCAAATAACTCATTTAAATACTGAAAAACAATTGAAAATTTTAATGATTAAAAAGGCAGTAAGCAAATATTATTTTTTTATGTATGTTGTAAACTCCAAATATAGTAAATAGAAAGCTTTAGTGATCGTTATTAAACATACACACACACACGCACATATATTTTTTCCACGACTTCTCGCTCAACCCTAGGGTCCCAGGGAACCCCCAATTGAGAAAGGTTGCTGTAATAGAAAACTGTTTTTAGAATCAAGGCAGGTAGATGCAAGGAACAAATCACCATTTAAAGGCTTAATATACTATTTCTAGCTATGGAATGTTTATTGGCTCTAAGAATATTTCCTGCCAACAACTTGGAAGTGTTTCATAAATATTCAGAATTCCATGCAGTCAGTACAGGACACAAGCATGAACCAGCTGCAGATGTTACAGTCTACCAAAAGGGAGTATAGCATGAGAGAACAAAACTTTATACCCCATTTTGCACCAAGAATTAAATTTCCCCACAGTAAGCAATTCAAAATATCACTAAAGACAGTTCTTGTGACTCAGAACTTCTGCTTTGCAGATTAAATCCTATTTCGAGCAAGTGCAACTTCACCAGTCATTGGTCAGATTACCACATAGACAACATGCTTCAGCCACATAGTGATTAAACTAGTGCAGCAAGACACTAAAATACAATTACTAATAAGTTTTTGACTGTATGTAAACATGTGCCTCATTGCAACAAATTTCTGTACCTATATTTGCATATGTGGACTGGATCCAAGTGTGTAATTTCCCATACTGCTAAGAAATGTTAGGCTAACTGCAGCGCATAAACTTATATGTACTTGCTGTCTCTGAAAATACAGCAAAATTGCCATGCAGTTACTCATAGTGCGGCTGTGTGATCGAATCTGTTGCGTTTCCAAATGTGCTGTACTCTGACATAGCACCAAACCCTTTGTCTAGAGCTGGTGGGATACAGATGTGTCTGCCTGTCTATCTCACAGGCAAGGATGATTTTCAGAAACTTGGACTCAACTCATTGTGTCTTGTCTTGTCTTGTCAGTTCATTGTAAACCTGACTGCCTGTGCAAGGAGATCTGATGTTTTCAAGGACCCAAACAAAATTCTCTCACAGCAGTCTGTGTTCACTAGCTTTAGCTTCAGAATTAATCACAGAGAGACAGCAGAATGTTATGGGAATACAGGAAAAGTATTAGAATTTAAGAGAAGAGGTATCATGTTGTGATAAAATAACAAGTATGCAGATATTTTTAATAGTTATATGGGGATAATCTGAAAAATATAAGATGTGAAACCAGCAGGCATTTCTGGAATAAAAAGAGGGAATATCCGAAAGACAAAATTGATGAGCTTGCAACGAACAGTAACTCACTCACTCACTCACTCATGGAGCTGAGCCTTTCTTGAGAAGCCTCCAATTGTGCAGCTACTCAAGAACTTCCCAGCGTTTTATGGAACCTGAAAGTTCATTACTATGCTCACAAGAGCCCTCCACTTGTCCCTATCCTGAGCCAGACAAATCCAATCCATACCATCCCATCCTATCTCTCTAAGATCCATTTTAATATTGTCCACATATCTACATCTTGGTCTTCCCAGTGATTCGTTTATTTGTTAAGACATGAAAAGTTGACGAAGTTTCTAATTTTGTTCTTGTGCAGTTAATTGAGCAAGAGCCTGGCACATATGAGAAACGCCACCCAGACTATGCCAGGCGGGACAAAGTAGATTTTGCATGGGAAAAAATTTCTCATGAGATGAAGGAATCTGGTATGTGTGTATATATATTATAACCAAAACTTATAATAGGATGAAAATACAGAATATGTCTGCGAAAACAATGTAAACAAATACTATAATATGACCCATGCTTTGTGATAAAAGTCAGCAGTTGGGTTAGTCCTCATCCTTTACATTTATCAGCTGAATTCAATTAATGAAACTCCGCTGAGACAGAATTGCTCCTGCTGGTGTTAAGAAGTAATCAGCCAACTGATTTCGCAGGCGTTGTGCCCTCGAAAATTTTTGCCTTCCATCATCATCGTCGTCGTCGTCGTCGTCGTCGTCGTCATCATCGTCGTCATCATCATCGTCATCATCATCATCATTTAAAACATGATGACTTGATTGACTGATTGCATAATTTTCAGCTCCTTCGCAAAATAGCCCTTCCTGGATTCTGATGAAATTGTGGAGGACAACAGATGCTTTGATGATTGAATTCACAGTTTCTTCTTTGCAGCACATTGGCCCCTCAAATATCTTGAACTTGGCAGTTAGAATACCAAATGCACATTCTACACTTTTTCATGCACAAGAGAGTCTGTAATTAAATATACGTCTTTTGTTAGTCAGCATTCTTCTAGGATAAGGTCTCATTAAATTTATTTTCAATGGCAATGCTTCATCTGCTATGAAATAGTAAGGAAATGTTTCACTGCTCTCTTCCGATGGTAGAGAAGTTGGAAATGGGATGTGCAGTTCTTCCTTCTCCGGCATCTCTCCGAGAGTAGTGGCCCTAAATACAGACCCAGCGCTGTTCTTGCCGAAATCTCTAATATGGACAGTAGTAAATAGGGCATTGGCATCTGCACATGCCAGTAGTATTACTGAAAAATAGCCCTTGTAGTTGTAGTATAGTGATCCGGTTTTAGGAAAGCATTATATGCGGACATGTTTCCCATCTATTGAACCTACACAATTTGGCAAGTTCCAAAGATCAAGGTATCTTTGTGCAGTGCTTTTCCATATTGATTCGTTCGGTGGTGGGATGAACAGGGGTTGCATTATCATCCATATTACAGATGTAGTGTCTGTGATTATGGCAGAAATTGTTCTCTGTTCCCTCATAAACTGAAAACTTAATGCTGAAAACTGCTGCCCATAGCCAAATACCTGAAAACAAAAACAACATGTCAGAACCACAGTTGCATTAATGAAATAGTTGGTGCTTTATTTGTAGTTTGCTTTAAACTGTCTGAATTGTTTCACACTGGATGTTTGTGAGATCCGTTTATCTTTTTTCAGTCGCAGCCTGTAAAGAGGTGTGGAAACATATAAGAACAGTATTCATCCGCCGTTTGCATGATAAGACACCTTCTGGGTCATCTGCTACTAAAAAACATCCATATTACCTTCATGACGCAATGCAATTCATGATTCCTTACATAACGAAAAATAGACACCAGGAAGAGCAATTTGGCAACTCTACACACCGAAGAAGATACATCATTCTATGGAGAAAACGAAGAAGACACTCAGATGAATGAAGCGCTGAATGAAAATGTGCCGGAAAATGTCACACCATCGGAGAGCACCATCGTGATACAAGCTTCTTGACAGAGAAACCAAAACGATTCTAGGCAGCGGTTATTTAGCAAATGACATCAGCTAACCGCCTTGGATCTGGTTGATAAGGGTTTCATGAACTACATGAAGCAACAAACGGTCGAAAACTCCAGACCCAGATGCAGAATTTTTACACAGCCTACTCCCAGACATGAAATCAATGACTGTTAAGCAGAAATGTACATTTAAAACTGGAACTCTGTATTTAATGGATGAGCTGTTAGAGGGTACAGACAGTGACTAGCAGTCTTCCACAGGATTGAGCGAGGCATCCACTTTTTATCTACAACATCTCTTCATGAAGTACAGGATAGCTCCCAGTCAGTGTTAACTTATTTGGAAAAGGAATTGAGGAAATCAGGAAACGTCGACCCTCATTTAAATGGCACAGATGACAAAAATGGATTGTAACAATTAATGTAAAGGAAACATTTCTAGCAGCAGTATTGTAGTTGTTTAGATGTCTACAGAATTTGTATGTTGGTAAAAAGATAAAATTTCCTTACCTCAGAGTAATCAGTAGTCTTTCTTTTGCTGACACAGCTGTACGAAAATTTGTGTTTTGTCTTCGAATTTGAGGTTTGGAAGGTCGCGGATTCAAGTCCTGATGAGGTCATTTGATTTTTTTTCAGTTGACCTGATCCTTCCAGCCACACTAGGCCCTGGGGTTTACACAGCCTCTAACAGAAATGAATACCCGGAATTAATTAAATAATTTTCCTGGGTAGTAAAGCGAGGCCGGCGCGTAAGGCTAAAAACTTTACCGCCATCTTTGAGCCGATTGTCTAGATAGTGTGGGACCCTCAACGTCTCACAACCCTATGGGCCTTCATGGCCTGGTACAGGGATAGCTTTCTTTTTTGTTTTGTTTTACAAGATCCACTAATAAAGAAAACTTTAAGTGCTCATTTTGTAAAATGATTTGAACAGGTCTTGATCCTGATTAAGTTCTTTCGAAACAATATAAGCACCTGAGTTTAAATTGTCGCGAAAGAACGGATGTACCAAAAGTTTCCTCTTCTCCTGTCTTCTCCTCTTAGGCCGTCTCAACTACCATCATATCATTATAGGATCAATATTATTATCTGACATTGCAGACGAGAAGTGCACGAAATTGGCGGGTAGACACACCCGCTTGAGTTGATGTGAGCAACTAAATGAATGTATGTGGGGTAGGCCCTCTCGGCCTTTGCACCGTGACCTACAGTGGTCTATGGCGTCTATGGTGCTTATAATCGAATGCAAGTTTCCTCAGTGTGCGCCTGCTAATCTGGAAACCAGTTGCCTGCTTGAAATCGGCGATTATTCTCGGAAATCGCGATTGCATTGCGGTTGCCAGTTTCCTTGGTGTGCCCCCGGCCTAATAGTTGGAATGTTGTCATTCGTCAGCTGATTAATAACTGATTAGAGCGGTTTCAGATTATGAGAAGTGTACGTTCGAAGTTAACAGTTATATTCCCATTACAATAGTAAGCTGCTCTGTAAATGTGTAATATACTCAGCAGGTCATTAAAGGGAAATATCTTCGTAGTAAATGTACAGAAAATAACACGACCTGGAACCAGAGGGAAGTGTTCCTATTGCAAATCCTTCAGATTTAACAACACAAAGTAAGACATTCGCTAGTGTAGATGAAAACTACAGTTTACAGCAATAAGTCCCGAATCATATTTATAATATGTACATTTGAGACTTGGAATCGTTAGTGGAGCCGTTATACGAGCTATTTCCAAGCTTATCAACCATATCTAAGTATGTGAACATTACCCATTACTATTTTTTATCATTATTGAGCAAGTAAGTATGTTGAAAATATTTTGACGACTTTTTGCAGTTGTTTGTAAAATATATGCAACATTCTGATTTTAAGTTTTCTGTTTTATGTTGGTTCTCAGCTGTGCAGCATGACTCCCAGGTTATGAAGAATGATCATTATTGGTTTGACTGGCAGGATAATTATATATTATTGTACTACACATAAAGTGTTGGTCCGTCTTTAAGAAGGGCGAGAGTTTATGCTCTTGCTAGTATTAGTTTATACTGAGATAAAGTAATATATTACTACATTGTCACATAACCTGGGAAATGTTAGCATAGGAGCGAAAAACAAATGTCAAGGCAGCCCAACAGGGAAATGAATGTGCAGCTAGCTATTTGTCCTTGTCTGAATGAATGCCTTGGCATTCATTCAGTTGCTTCATCAACTATTGCCTCAGGCTAGAGAGCATCAAAATTAAATTGTAGCTGTAATGAGAGGAACCTGCAACATTGTGATTCTGTATCCCATTATATCTGTTCATAATAAATATAGGAAGAATTAAAATAATCACTTATTAAGTTTCTTTTGTTTTGTAAAAAATTAGTGACCAAGATGCACTGTTAGGGAACCAGGCAAGGAGTATTTATACTGACAATGTTTTCGGTTGTCTTAGTTTCCTTAGGCATATGCCAAGATAATAATTAAAAATAAGCCATCAGAAGGTTAGTATCTAGAGTATACCATGACTTCTTCCATAGCTCTTTTTAACAGTGGTCCTACTGTACGTCATTCAGGCTCCTTGATCTCAGTAATTGTAAAGTAACTGAACAACTGTAACAGATAATCAGATTATAATTTTAGTCCTAAATTAGACTTCATTATACACCACATGAAATTAGTGTGTCTCAGTAACTTATCGAATTAAGGTTTGGCCACACAGAGCGCTATGTACGTTATGTTAGCTATATGAACAGAAAAATATCTCCCTTTATTGCCAATGTGATGGGCCACACAGACTTCCGTACGCTATGTTCTCTATGTTAGCTGCGTCGCAGAGTGTACACAGTGCACGTAGCAAACATGGCGTAGCGCTCTGTGTGGCCGAACCTTTACAGGTTCCTTTTGTTGAGAATAATTTTCATTGTAATGTTAGTTTTACATACTTCATTCTGTGACTACCTGCACAGTATATTCTAAATTGTTCTGTTTTTCCTTTGTTACAGCTGTAAATCCAGATTAATTTGTCAAGGTGTTTGTAAAAATTTAATTAAAACAATGACTGCTGTAGAGGGTGTTACTTCAAACCAAGTGTTCCAAGGGCAAGAGGACCGATTCCGTGGCATCACAGTTGATTCATCCAGAGAACCATGTGATGTCAATGCTTTTCCTAAGAAGCTGGAAGGTACAGTTCTGTGCAGATACATTATAACTGTTTAAATGAGCCATATATCTTATACAGAATTGGTCTCCATATCCAAATAAGTTCTGGCAACCAGCAGATTTGGTATTCCTGCTTTCACCACCTCGTTCAACCTAAAGCTCAAAAATGCAAATACTTTTCTTAATACAAATATGGAATTTATGATAATACAGAGTATTAATCAATATTTACCTCATTTACTAGTCTCCACTTTCTCTCCTGTCCTTTCTAATTTATCACCTTTTTGTAAGATTTGAGGTTGCACCTGCTCTGCTGGTTTGCTCGCGGATTTCTTCTTGTCTTCTACCCTGAAGATGGAGGTGATACGTTCCTCCGAAATGTCGGTTAATACAATTTCTATACAGCTCACTACATCCCAGAAGACGGCTTTCTTCATATCACCTTTTTGTTCGGAGGAGCATATCAGTTCCATCTTGTCCTCTGCTTGCCACCTCCTTTCATGCTGGTTTGTATCCCAGAACTCTTCTTTCCAGTCTTATCTTCAGCAGAGTTGTCATTGTTCCATACACTGAAATTCAGTTTAGACTGCATTTTCAGGTACTGGCTTACAGTGATGTAGACGATGATGTTTGATGTATGATACATTTCCTCTGGAGTATAGATATTTAACTCATGTGCACAGAAATTATTTCAGCTGTAAAGGATTTCTGTGAATAAACATTTCTGTCTACTTGAAATTGAAACTGAAATTGGTGTGTGTTCAATTTTCCAGCATCACTGAAACACTGGACTGTGAAGAGTTTCCGTGGCATCTGGTTCAAAGTGACGCTGGAACATGCAGATTGGGTTCCAATTCTTGCAGAGGTGTGCAGTTTGTTTGCAGTTGTCTTTGATAATGAAATAGATTTGATGAAAATGAACTTTTGGGTGTAAGTGCCACAACATGGCACAATTACTTGTTTAATGGGATTTATTCTCCAAAAGTGAAGGTTTTATAACTAGTTGAAAAATTTAATTATCTTATAATAGAATGCAAACTGGAATGGAATAGAAAAGAAATTCTGAGCCACTTGAATCCTGTTCATGCTCTCAAAACCTTTCCCAGTAAAATATTTTTTAATGCTATTTTCAAATCTTTTGCAAATGATCACTGTCTAAGAAATTTCTTTGCCAAAATACAGTCATGAAAACACACATAAAAGCTACATGTTCAGTATTGCAACCTTGATTTAACTGTTTCAGCAGTCTTAAAGAGTGAACTGGCATGGCCCAGTTAGTATAGGTTTAATTCCTGGTGATGACAGAGATTTTATTGTGTCTAGACTTATGAGGCTCACCCAGCCTCCTGTCATATGGATACCAGGGACTCTTTCCTGATGGGTGAAATGCCAGGGTTATGAACTTGACCACTTACCTCCTACTGCTGAGGTTAAGAAAGTATGGATCTATATCTCTTCTCCTTGATACGTCTTTATGGTGCTTATTTAAGTACAGTGATAACAAACAAAACAAACTCCGTGATTTTAGTCAGCAAGTGAACTATACCGACCGAGCAACTGCTGCTGTCGGTGAAGTTCAGTGCCAACTTTTGTGGATAGAGGGTGTTGTGTAGTCAGTGCAACAAATCCCCAGAGCCATTAATTTCAGTTTTCTAGACCAGAGCCACTGTTTCATTGAAATAGCTCCTCAGTTATCCTCATGAGGCTGAGTGGACCACATTCCAGACCCACTACTTCTCAGAAAAAATCTGGTAGCATCGGGAATCGAACCCGGACCTCTGGATCTGTAGCCACGAGTGCTGACTACTAGACCACAGAGGCAGTGATAACTTTACTTTTTACTTCAATAATATGTATGTATGTATGTATGTATGTGAGAGGTGGGCCATAAAAACCGGCCCCCGCACTGCGACCTTCAATGATCTATTGTGCTTTACTTTAATAATATGAGTGAGAAATAGAAATCATGTTTCTTGCAATGTATTCAATTCCTCACCTACTTTTTGTCTCTTGCGTTCATCTGTCTCCTTTAGCACTTTCTTTTCATATACTTGTAATTTATGTATGTCTGCACTTTACAGCCATATAAAGTAAGTAGATGGATGTCTGTTTTATATACTGTGACTTGAATAAGCAAATACTACAACTTGTTCCTCTTTTTTTATGGCACTTTAGAATGAATTCCAGTTCCATCATGCAAAACCTGGATATGTCATGATGTATCGCTGGCTGCCCACTGCAGAAGAGTGCAACATTCCACCATATGCACACACAATGACTGGTGTCGGTGCAGTTGTGGTGAATGATGCACATGAGATCCTGGTGGTGAAAGAGAAGTTCTTTGCCATACCACATTGGAAATTCCCTGGTGGCTACCTAGAACCTGGTGAGTCACTCTGCCATCTTCTTTTTCATCAAGTAGACATACATTTTTCTAGTTTCTTCTCTCATCATTGACCTTTCAGGACGTAACCTCCTTCTCAATTTAAATTGGACATTTTGTGTAGGGCTTATTTTATCTTCTGTTCTTTGTGAATGTCAGGAACATGGTAGTATAGTTCGTTGAGGCATTATGCTACAAGCTGGAAGGTCATGGGTTTGAGTCCCGATGAGGTGGATTTTTTTTTTTCATTTGACCTCATCCTTCCAGCTGCACTATGGCCCTGGCATCAACTCAGCTTCTAACAGAAATGCGTGTCTGGAATTCTCCTGTGGGATAAAGGGTGGCTGGTGGGTAAGGCTGACAACCTCACTGCAATCTGTGAGCTGATTGTCTAGAAAATGTGGGAGCCTCGACATCTCACAGCCCTATGAGCCTTCATGGCCTGTTACAGGGACAGCTTTACCTTTACCTTTATCTTTGTGAATGTTACATAGCTGCTTTCCTATGTGGCTTCGGTCTTTTTATATTTGGGAAATATATCAGAGCCCTGTCTTATAATCTAAATCCTTACTCTGTTGTGGTGAATCAAATTTTTCGCTCCTTGAAGTGAAACATTGTGTGAAGTGTTGCATGATTTTTTTCAAGGAGGCATGTTAACATCTGAGGCAATGAAGTGAAAGGCAGTAGACTGAAGAATAGGATTCAGTTTCCATAAGTTGTATCATTTCTTTTCCTTTCAGCATTGCTTGGAATTTCTCAGGTTTCGCACCTGGGAAATGAATAGAGTTTAAAGAGTTTCATGTTTAATATATTTTCTCTTCTAAGATATTCCAATTATTTGGTCCATAAATCAACAAATATACATCAATGCAGAAAGACAGCAGTTTCCTCAACCACAACTTTTTAACACCTGATGATGACCACTTTGGTCGAAACATATCATGAAAACTTTTAAAGTGAATATCTTTTATTAAGTTTAAATAAATTGTTGCACATAAGACTGTAGAACTAATTAAAAACACTAATTTTGAATATTGTTTCACCTTGGCAAATATGATAATGCTCAGTTCTATAAGCATCTGTTGGTATTGTTTTGTAAAGGTGAGGATATTGGAGATGCGGCAGTCCGAGAAGTGTTTGAGGAAACCAATGTGAAAACAGAATTTCAGTTTCTCATTTCCTTACGACACACCCATCATGGAATGTTCAAGTGCTCGGACATCTACTTCATTGTGGGTCTGAAACCAATTTCTGAAGAAATAAGTAAATGCAACAGAGAGATAGCAGCTTGTAAATGGATGAAGGTATTGTAGCAGTATGATTAATGTATGTAGGACATTGGTCGCTTTTGAATTAGGCACTGATACTTTTGATGGCCATTCATTTTAGGTCAAAAACAGTGGGCCCTGTCTCCATCTAGGTACTGTTCAGTTGTATTAAGGTAATGTGTTTTCTTCACACTGATTACATAAAAGAAAATCTCATTTTATGAATCAGCACATGACATGAAAATTTACATCTCTGATACCTTTCTGTGATAAGGGGCCAGAGGAGTAAGGGTAATATTAGAGTTGTCTCTCTACTTAATTAAGCACTGTGCCATGAGGATGTATGGGGGAGTGGAGTTATAGCTTCACCACTCTTGGCCTTGACACTAGATGGAGGTGAGTGGTCAGCATCATGCCTGTCACTTTACCCCCCAGGGAAGAAGTCCCTAGTGCCCATTGGATATGGAGATGAGTAGGCTCCAGAGCTGGTCTGAATGCTGTGGAGAAGAGGGAAATCCTTTGCCCTCACCAGGAATCAAACCCTGATTCCTCAGCCATCCAACCCATAGCCTAGTCACTATACTGACTGAGCTACCCAGGCTCCAGGAGGTTGGTGGGGGCTAACCTAAATGATGTCTCAGGTGACCAGAAAGTACATGTTTATGTAAAAATTATATAAGTTGCCCATTGTTATGATTATGTAGGCTACAGTGGTTTGGACATGTAGTTCAGATGGGGCATAGAGAATTTTGGTGGAGAAACCTCTGGGAAGGTGGTCATTTGGGTGGCTGAGGAGATGGAGAACATAACATTGAGACAGATATTACAGAAAGGAGTTGTGAGGATGGGCAGTGGATAGAACTGACTTGGTATTGTGCTCAGTGGTGAGCTTCGGTGTTAGCAGTGTTGAACCTTCATTAGCTAAGTAGGTATATAAATTCTGTCTGAAACATTTTTTCTACTCGTTGGTGTTTCCACCTTATCGTGGTGAGGGGGTTTGAGTATGCCAAGGACCCTAAGAGGTATACCAGCGGTAGCGTAGTTACTGGCAAGGCCTCCCTTGCTGGGCAGGTCAAAGGATAGGCATCAGACGAAGGGAGACACCAAAAACCAAAAACTTATGCCGGAAGCAGCGTCATCAGCAGTGACTTGAAGCACAGAACAAATGATGCTCGAGATGTTTCAAGTTCATATAGCAACAGGCGTGACCAGAGTGTTTTGAATGGCTGTTGTACTGCGATGTGGAAAGCAAATGGAAAAACTACCACAATATCACTTTTCCTGGATAGCCTCTTTCCAAAAGCAGAAGATCGCATTAAGTGGAGGAACTGTTTTGAAAGAGACTGTGGACCTGTTGTCTGACAGATTACTGATGAATGAATGAGTGTATAAAACAATAAATATACTGCTCCGGACTGGTATTTATGAGGTGATGAGTTCAAATCTTTGCCAGGACACTGTCATGACTGAGGTTATTTGTTTTTTTTCCTCAGCCCCTCCAGGCAAATTTCAGGATAGTATGTTGATTGAACCATGTCCACTTCCGTCTAGATCATTACCAATTTGTTCATCTGTCCTGCTATTTAGGAGCTGGGATAGAGCAGTCAGTATAGTGACTGGCTACAGGCTGGACAACCAAGGGGTCAGAGTTCAAGTCCCGGTGGAGGCAAGAATTTTCTCTTCTGCAATTCGTCCAGACTGGCTCTGGGGTCCACCCAACCTCCTATCCAATGTGTACAGGGGGCTCTTTCCCCAGGCATAAAGCAGCATGGGCGTGAAGCTCACCATTCACCTCCAACTAGGGTTGGGGTCAAGAAAATGTGGATCTATGCATCCACTCCCAATACACCTTCATGGTGTAGTGCTTAATTAGATAAGCACAGGGGAAACTTTACCTTTACATCTATCAACCTGCTATTTAAAACTATGTATTTTTGCTGCTGACAGTATTGTAAAATAATTCACAAAAAGATTGAGATTACCTCTTTCTAAGGGGCCCAATTGAGTAGGTGTCTTCTTCCCCGTTCACCTGAGGACAGAAAGAGATCCAGTTTCTGAAACGTGTTTTCTATTCTCTAGAATACCAGACGACGAAAAAATGTCCGAAAACCCAGTAACTCTGTGAAATATAAAAGTTTGTTTTGTTCAGCTGAAGTACTGGCTGTAAATGACCAGTAATTTCTAAATTGATATTTGATTGCCAAATTTTGGGAAGAATCTCCCATAAAAAATGTTATCAAAATCCAGAATGGGTAAGGAGTTAGGAAGATTCTGCAAGGGGTGTCTGAAACAACTTTTAGTGAAAAATGCCTAATATTTTATAATTATAACAAGTAATTCCCAAGGAAGAGAATGCTTAGCTGTGGTTGTTTTTATATTTGATGTCTGAAAATAGGGAATTTAAATCTAGAGCTACTATGGCATGGGTTTTAATTAGGCAGTAATGGTATTTATGTTATAAAAATGTCATATTAGGCCTGCATGACTGGCACATAGGTTGTTAGAGTGGTGTGATATAAGGATGAAGGTTAATGCACTTCAGGATCTAAACCTACTGTAAAATAATATTCCATCGAGTTGCTACTACATGACTTATGCAGTTGAGAATGTGTTATTAAGTAAACTGAGAACCATTAAAACATACTGATTAATGTTGCAAGTCTTCAGTGAATAGTTTCTCTTTTATAGAGGCTGTAATAGTCTCTCATATTACAATTTCCAGAAATGTTTTTTTTTATTGCTAGTGGGGTGGGACTAAGTAAGTCCCTTGTACTGGGGCCACTTATGGCCTATTGTACCAGCCCCAGATGATAGGTGAGGGTGATTGTGGAGCAGTTGGTGGAATAAAGATTGGCAGGGGAAACCGAAGTACTTGGAGAAAACCTGCCCCAGTGCCAATTTGTCCACCACAAATCCCACTTGACCGGACCCGGGATCGAACCCAGGCTGCTGCGGTGGAAAGCCAGTGACTAACTGCTTGAGCTATGGCATGGCCTCCAGAAATGTTGCTCTCTTAAATTTCATCACATTCATGTACAGGCCTGACCCGAAGTTTAGCACATCTACTTCTTCTGCTAGTGAAGTGTTGAGATATTCTTGGGGATATCCTCAATAAAAAATGTACATTATGAGCTTTTAATTTGTTGATTCACTAAAACTGAAAAATACTGTTTTTTTTGTAATGTGACACCATTGTAGTTTGGTAGACACTTAAGATAGAAGATGGAGCCTGTATACAAAAAACAAACTCCATGGCCTGAAGTCCGTAAGCGAGCTATACTGACCGAGCGACCGCCGCTTGTCAGCGAAGTTAGTGCCAACTTTAGTGGACAGAGGGTGTTGTGTGGTCAGTGCAACAGATCCCCACGGCCGTTAATCTCGGTTTTCTAGACCGGAGCCCCTATTTCCTTGAAATAGCCCCTCAGTTATCCTCACGAGGCAGAGTGGATCCCGTTCCAGACCCACTACTAGTCAGAAAATCTGGTAGCTCCGGTAATCGAACCTGGGACCTCTGGATCTGTAGCCAGGAACTCTTTGTGCAAAACATCAATAAATATCTACCAGGCTATAGAGCATCAGATCCCAGAAGACAGGAATCTTTTTAGTCACTTCTGTGCGAATCTCAAATCTTACATTGATTTGTTAATGATTTATTAACATTTTTGTCTATGATGGTTAAAGGTATGGGAATGCGGGTCTTTATTTACCAGTGGGTAATTCATTCAGAATCTATAGTAAAATACAAGCATACTGTTATATGCTACAGCGCTCATGTTCATGATTTCAGATTGAAGATTTCTTACAACATTCAAATGTTACTGATGCCAGTCGTTTCTTTTTGAGGAAATACCTAGAATACCAGAAAAATAAATCATCTATTGTGTGTGCAAAAAGTATTCATCCCTTATTAAACAAACCCCAGTGTGTATACAGCATTGACTTCAACCCAGATACAACTTCGAAAGGAAGAAGCAACTTGTAGGAAGATATCAACATGGTGCTTGCAAGTCCCTGGGGTCTTGATTTAAGAACTGACCTGTAAGCTGATCAGAATATCCTTCAAGCAGTGTGAAACGAATGCTGAGAAACTGTACCAAAATCTATTATGTGTGGATGCAATAACAAGTGAATTTCAAATAATGATGGATTTGGCCCTAATGAAACTAATTGGACTGTCAAATTATCTTCAGGTTACAGTATTGAAGTGCATGTATATTAACTGCTCACGATCAGGGGGTGCAGTAAGAAATAACAGTAAATCTGAACTTTGCAAGTAATTACAGATCTATATACAACTATTTTTATATTTTAAATGGGAGGTTTATAATCCATGTATTGTTTATTATACATATGAATATAATCGTGACTGAGTTGTGCATCTATTTATTTATGATGTATTTAATAATGCCTTCGGTAGCATAAAATGTTGGGATGATTAGTGAATAATGAGTGGGCGAGTTTTGTGAAATGATTGCTTTGCTAATGAAAAAGATTCTGATTATAATGGATTTATTAAATTGTCTTAATAATTTTGAAAATAACACACAACTTTACAACAATACTGGAAATAAAACATATAATTTTACCTGTTGTTTGTATGGGTGTGAAACTTGGTCTGTCACATTAAGAGAGGAACACAGATTGAGAACTTACGAGACTGAAGTGTTGCGGAAAATATTTGGACATAAGAGGAAGGAAGGAAGGAAGGAGGAGTAGAATGCTAAAGGAAACTACATAATGAGGATCTTCATCATTTTTACTGTGTACCACATATTGTCAGGGCTTTAAAATTGAAGAGAATGAGATGGCTGATGCATGTCTCACACATGGATGGGACCTGTCCATAGGCGGTAGAATAGTATTAACAGTGATCACAAAGAAGTATGATAAGAAGATATAGAGTGAATTCATGTGGCTGAGAGAAGAAACCAGTGGCAGTTTCTTGTGAATACAGTAATGACTCATTGAGTTTCATAGGAGGTAGGGAATTTTTTTACTAGCTGAGTAACTATTAGTTTCTGAAAAAGAACTTTGCTCCATTTAGACATAATAGCTGGAAACATTCTACCTTTAAGCGATCCTCATGTCTTCAATTTATCTTTTCTGTTTTTAGTAAGTTCAAGGGAAGGCTTTATAGAATTATACTATTTACACAGTTGTCTATTGTTTAGATAGTGAAAGTGTTATAAAATAAAAAAGAAAAGAGGACAGAAGCTGGGATCACTCATTTGGTATAGCAGTGGGCTAAGGGCTGGATGCCTGGGGTTCAATTCCTGGCAGGGGCAAGAGATTTTTCTTTACTTCGAAGCATCCAGACCAGCTCTGGGTGCCACCCTGCTTCGTACCCAATTGATACCAGGGGCTCTTTCTTCAGGGATAAATGGCTAGGGCGTGAATCTGACCCCTCACCTCCATTTAGTGCCAAGGGCAAGAATGGTTGAACTATATCTCCACTCCCACATACATCTTCATAGTGTGGTGCTTAATTACATAATTAATTAAGCAGAAGGACAACTTTACCTTACCTTAAGTGTCATAAAATAACCTAGAAAAATTAGCAGTTTTAACAAAATTACAATTAACATATTAATTTCACTTCAACATTATATACTTTGTTGCATCCTGGCACTGGTTCAGTCTAAGACATTTTCAAAGTGTAAAGTAATTCTTGTTTCTTTGAGTTTTTTCATAAATAACTAGGGATGTCATATCGCCTCTTTTATAAAGGATCTGTGACTGTCCTGCTACTTTTAAATAGAGCTGAAGCCATCCTGAATGAATTTCAGTTCAGTACTGTGTACTCATATACAAAATGCATTATCACTCACTCATGGAGCTGAGCATTTCTTGAGAAGCTGCCAACTGTGCAGCTATTCAAGAACTTCTGATTTATGGAACATGAAGGTTCATTATCCAATATATATTCTGCTATTCTTCTTTCACTGTTTTCAGGTTGAAGATTTTTTACGTCATCCAAATGTTCATCAAACAAATCGATTTTTTGTGAGGAAGTACTTAGAATATCTAAAAAACAGAGTAACTGTTGAATGTGTGAAAGACATTCATCCATTGCTACAAAAACCCCAGTGTGTATACAGCATTGACTTCAATCCAGATGCAGTTTCCAGTGAAGAATTATACAGGAAGCCTCATGAGACATCATGCTGTAGAATGGAGGGCTACATGGTACCTTAAAGTAACACTGTAGAGAGTGGTTTTTCTTAAAGCATTGTTTTCTGTTTGGGATATCATGGAATTTTAGGTTTATGGTTGCATCTCTTGTGGATTCCAAGAAATCTGTAGATCTTTACTAGTGTTGAACGCTTCAGTCTGGCTAATAGTGTGCTATATCAGTAAGACTCGAAGAATATAAAAACATATTTTTCCTCATCTCCACATCATAGAACCTTTGTTCTACTGAGAATTGGCTGTGTGCACTATGTAGCATATACACTGCAATGATGACTTTGTATGCACCAGGCCAAGGAAGCAGGTAAGTTCACCTCTTGAATGTAGGTCCCAAAACTGTGCTTTCAGACATGCATTGCCATGAAAATGAGAGTAAGCTATGTGTACTGTGTAGCTAATACACTGCAGCATTATCTTTGTTGGAGTATACAGCAGGACCTGGAGGTGGATAGATTTGGCACTTGACTAGATGCCCCAAAATTGTGTTCTCACACATGCATTGGCATGAAAAAGAAAGTGAAAGAAAATACAGGTCCATTAGTACTATAAGGTTATGTAGTTGTCTTTCTGCATGACCTGATGTGTGTATACCAGAATATGCTATTGATATACACTGTATATGTGGCCGCACAATAGCTCAAGCGGTTAGTCACTGGCTTCCCACCACGGTGGCCCAGGTTCGATCCTGGATCTGGTCAAGTGTGATTTGTGGTGGACAAAGTGGCGTTGGGGCAGGTTTTCTCCGAGTACTTTGGATTCCCCTGCCAATCTTCATTCCACCAAATTCTCCATCATCATAATCACCCGGGGCAGGCTACAATAGGCCAATCAGTGGCCGCCATGCCGGTTGGACCCAGTTGAACTCCACCCCTCACTAAGCGAACTTTTAATTACACTGTATAAGTTTGTGCCACTACATCCAGAGTGGCTGATGTACCTACTCTCAGGCAAAGCGGCCAGAGCAAGAAGCTGACCATTCACTTTCACCATTTTCTGACCCCTTGTATGCATGGAGCTTTACTTCCACCTTGATATGCCTTTATGGCATGAATGGTACTTAGGCATAAGGGAAACTACTGTTATCTTTATAGTAATTTGCCCAAAACCTAGGAAATATTTTTAACAATCAAGTTCCTTCCGTCAAATGTGACACTTTTATAAGTTTTCCACACAAGCATCGCAACACACAGACAAGCAACATCAACAACCGACAGACAACACACGTCAACAACATCCCGAAGAAAAAAGACTGGGCCAAGCGGGAAAGAATTCTAGGAATTTTAAGAATTCTTACTTCAAATAACGAAACATAATTTTTACAGAATTAACGACGAATTAAATAAGAAAGCTACCGTGGTGTGTGGAAAACCTTTAGTGAACCGACACTCTCGGCAATTTTAACTATTGTAATTATTTTAATTAACTGGAACGTGGCTATTTTTAACAAAGTGAAGTTTTGTGTGTTGGTGATTTCTTTTTCTACTATAAATGCCTCTGATGATGGCTCCGTGGTGAGCCGAAACATGTAAGGCAGGTGGTGACGAGGTGGAAAACTTATAAAAGTGTCACATTTGACGGAAGGAACTTGATTGTTAATTTGTTAGTGTGACGGACCAGAATGAAAGACCTTAAAAATATTTTTAATCTTTACATGAAAAACTACAATAGCAGTTTACTGCTATTATTTTACTCTAAAATTAAAAATGTTTTCTGCAAGGGCAAAAGGAGGACAGATGGGGGATCCACAGAACTCTACACATTATTACAGGATTCTTCAACAAAGAAACATACAACTGCTTTAAAAATGTCAGAGGTAGATTCTAAGGGGTTCTAACTATGGTGGATGACATAGAATTACTGGGTTTTTGGATTCTAAGGGGCCCAACTGAGTAGGTGTCTTCCTTTCTCACCTAAAGACAGAAACAGATCCAATTGCCTAAACATCGTGTCCTCTATTACCTAGAATTCTGGACGATGGAAAAAGTCCAAAAACCCAGTAATTCTGAATGTCAGAGGTGTTATAAACATTTCATTTCCTTAATTTGTTAAGTTTCGTTTTAGAGTTTCTTAAATAGTTCTATAAGGAAGCATTCACATTGCGCCATTTATATACTGTATGCATTGCTGGAACATCATCTGTAAAATCCAGATCCCTTCTTCCATGTGATTTTCATATCTTTTATGTTTTAAAAAAATCAGGCAACATCAATTTCATTCAGGTAATGAAATGATTTCAAACTGTGGACCTCTGTGAAAAAAGGTATCCTAGTGCTTGGAAACTCAGTGGGATGCATGTTTTAATGATTGCAATGTGTCTGGCAAATAATGTCCAATAATCACTATCTGGAAGATTTGTACTGAACCTCTTATTTGTGTGTGTATGCAACACATGTATATTTCTACTACTAATGTGTAAAGTCATATAAAATTTGAGAGTTTAACCCAGAGGGATACACAGGCTACTTTCATACAACATAATAAAATGGTCAGTGAAGAAACCACGAAAAATACAATATCAAATAAAATAAAATACCAAATATATATTTGTGAACATTCACAAAATTGTTGTTTCTTGTACCTCCATCTTTCATATATGTTGTATATGTTTAAAAAAATTAGGATGGATCTAACTTGTCAGCTATAATTACTACCTAATTAACATCATGAAACAAAGTCCTTTTTGAGAAGGTGATAGTCATGCAGCTGATCTAGAAATTCTCCACCTTTTGTGGAACCCAGCGTTCATTACTTTCTTCATAAGAGCCTGACCCTGGACCATACCCTGCAGCTAGATGAATCCAGTTCATATTGTTACATTGTTTCCATAAGGTCTCTCTTAATATTATCATCCCAGCTATATCTGCATTTACCAAGTGGCCTCTTCCCTTAACATTTTCTGACTAAATTTTTTTTATATATTTCTCATCTCCTATACATGCTATTTGCCCTGCCTATCTCATCCTTCTCATTATGCAGTTTTATCCAGAACTCTTAGTGTAAATCATCCATTTTATTCTTTAAGAGTCAAGTCTCTCATGTTTTGTTAACCTCTACTTCTATTTACTTTTGAACACAGTAAAAGTAAACAAAGGAAAGCTGTCCCTGTAACAGGCCGTGAAGGCCCATAGGGTTGTGAGACGTTAAGGGTCCCACATTACCTTGACAATCGGCTCAAAAATGGCGGTAAGGTTGTCAGCCTTACACGCCAGCCGCACTTTACTCCCCAGGAAAATTAGTTAATTAATTCCTGGTACTCATTTCTGTTAAGAGGCTGAGTAAACCCCAGGGCCCAGTGTGGCCAGAAGGATTAGGTCAACTGAAAAAATCCATTGACCTCATCGGGACTTCAACCCGCGACCTTCCAGCTTGTAGCATAGTACCTTAACCACTACGCTA